GAGGTTTGTGTACTGTCCATTCAACATCGCGTTTTCACTTTTCAAGTGGGGCAAAATTAATCGCTTTACATTTGTATCACGTTATCCTCAGTACATGTTTCATAAACTCGAGAGGCTCCTAGAGTGGACGGGAAAACAGGAGCTACAGGGGATTGTGTTTAAACTGACTTTGAATTGTTAAGAGATCAGATGAAACACGCCAGCGAAAGGCTCAATGGACTTTCTAAAAGTCGTTTAATTTTTTTCCCGGTTGGTGAAGTGTGTCAAATAATCAGTTATTCTAAACGAGACTTGATAGGAGGCAGTGTTCCCGGGTGATCAACTTCTCGGAATCGAAATTGGTAGCGGGACCCGATCTGAATCCCGATCTGGCCACTCACTGGATTAGTTGAGTTCAACGTTTCGGTCATGCCTGTTAAATAACCACGTTCAGTGACTTTGCCGGTAATTCTGAGGCGGTACGCAGCTCTTACAAGATGTGCTCTCTGAATCTTTGTTCTGTGGTTCTTATCTCCGCCATATTTAATACTAATTGTTTTCAACAGCCAATCAGAGAACTCCTTGTAAAAAGCTGCGTGTTATCCGGTAATTCTCCGTAGTGGCACATACCTCTCACCACTTAAAATAATTTTTGGACATTAGCTGAATATAGGGGGTCGTAATTTCAAAACGTAAGAAAGTTGTCAGTTGTCACGTTACGGCCTATGCGAGTAACTCTCAGTCTCCCTCGAGAACTGACAAAAAGACATCGTGGCCACCTTTGCTGCGAACCACAAATAATTGAAACTTTGTCAAAGTCTGTTTTAAAATGATGCACTGGTATGTTTTTTTCTTTTTGCGTCAGTAGCAAGAAATGTCACAGCTCGACTTGCGTAAAAAAGGAATGCCGGAAATTTTACTCTATATTCGGTGTTTTTCCCGCCGGTTGGGTTACTGATATTGTTATGTTTGAATGTGTTTATTTGTAAGATATTATTATTTTACATTCTCTCAAAGAAGTCATTCCCTTTGCTTTGTGCTCATGAAGTCGAACTATTTCTTTTTTTCTTTTAAAGGAATAGCTTATCTCTTCACAGTAGGAATTTCCTTTGCTTCGTCTTTATGAAGTCCTTTCCATCATTCCGGCCTCCTTTTCAGACGTGCACCTAATTTGTCATTACTACTAGTATTGTAAATGACGTGTGTACTATTTCTTTTTATATTGTAGGGTCATGTTCGTTTTTCCAAAGAAGGTGGAGCTCAGCGAGTCATTGATGCTCTGAAGGCAAAAGGTGATGGGAAAATTGTCATCAGAGAGGCGGAGGCAACTCTCCGGGTACTCGAGGGTACGTTAGTAAAATTCTCCTTTTCAGAAACGAAGATTACACTGAGCCGAGTTGACTCTCGCAGAGACTTCTGGGCCTGTTACCTGGGATAACGGAAAATTAGCCAATAGCAGAACGGCACGATCCCAGAAGTCTTTGCAAAAGCTAACTCGTCCCAGTTTCTTTGTCGAATGTCATCAAGTCCTGAAACTTCTTAGTCAGCGGCGCAACGAGTCGCCGTGTGTAGTGACCAAATGTTGACGCTTGAAGTTGCTACGCACGTGATGATCACGTTATAAGCAGGCAGCCAAAGACTGATTACCAAAATGGTGCTCTTTCTCCTTGGGACCAGAGCGCGTGTCGCATTCCTCGCGGATGGCGATTTTCGCGCTTGTTTGCGTATTTTAACCGCTCTACTTTTCCTGAGAAAAATGTAGGCCAACTGCGTATTTTCCTTGTTTTGGGAGAATTGCCTTGTAATCTATTGACGTCTCATGTTAATATGTTTTTCTAACGCGACGCCTGGTTTCGTAGGTGATGAAGAGAAAAGTTACTGGAAAAAGGCTCAAGAAGATAGAGAAAAAGGCAAGCAAAAGAAAGGTAATGAAACACATCCTTTGAACATTGTAGTTAGAGCGGTTTTCATTTGAGTGTCGAAAAGTAATTGGTTTTGCACTTTCTACACGATACGATTGGCTTAAAAGATTCGCGCCACCTTTTCATCCAATCAGAAGTAAAACCAAAGCCAAGTGTGACGCGCTCGCATGCATTTTCCCGCGCTTTGCGTCAGCCACATGTAATTACTTCGAGTTTTGATTGGTTCAATGTATTGTCTGTGTCCTATGTGATTGGCCAGAGTAATTACTTTGGTTTTGGTTTTACGACACTCAAACGAAAACCACTCTAAATAATGGTAAGGAAGGAGGAATAGAGTTTTAAAACATGGCGCCAGTCATCCCCCCCTTGCAGCCAAGATGTTTTACTTAGGAATCAGTTTTGGCTTAAAAGCGAAACTCTGCTGTCGTTGTTGTTTACATTTTTGCTCATTAGCATTCGAGTCAGCCCATAGTTGGCTTCACCTCATAAACAAATAAATTCAGCTGTTAAACATTCATGATGGAGTCACAGAGTGATGGGCTCTTGATATATTTGTTTTCAAGAATAAGCGTGAAAAGGCGATGAAATTTTAAGATGATTTATTTTAATATATTTTGCTCTTACAGGGAAGAAATTTCGTGGAAATCAAGGTGGACGCTCTGGAGGCGGCCGTGGACGCGGAAAACGCAGAAGCTTCGACAGGCAACAAAACAAACCAGGCCAAGAAAAAGACGATGAAACGCAAAAAGCAACGCACACGCGGTTCGATGATGGAGAACCAGCGGAAAAGAAAGTGAAGACTGAAGAAGATTGATGCGTCGGTGGAGACTTTTTTTTTACAGGGATTGAAATTTATTTATGTTTTTATCGATAGATCCATTTTGTTCTTCAGTGCAGTCCTTTACAACTTTTTTTTCTCAATACTCTTTGGGATTTTCGAGTTCTAAACTAAAATAGAATCTCTTGTGTGGTGTGACTGACGGAGATTGTCACTGTAGAGTAATAACACTTCAACGGTATCAGCACCCAAATTCTGCGCCTCAAATGTGCGGACCATCCTGTACAGTTTACTTAACACCAATGCACTGAGGCACAATGTTTTATTTTGAGTAGTTACTCTCTTGGTTTTTACTGTCGGACAAAGAAATTTTAAAGGCCAGAGAGTCCAAAGGTTGTACCTTATAACGAGCCATACCAGAAGTGCGTAAGCCTTAGCCTGCGAACGCAGGCTACGTAAGCCTACGTACATGTACTAGTTGTAAACGAACGATGACGCTTGTATTTTATCGGTCAGTGGCTAAGATTATCCAGTGGATAATGTCCTTGAAGAGTAAAGTTTGCAAATCAGAGCACATTGCTTGAGAAATCTGTTCACTTTGTGGTATAGGAAGTAGCTCTATTATTTTAACATATAGCAGCTGTAAATCATTGTCTGGGAAGCAAGCAACATCGTTTCAGTTGTTGTATTGCTCTTTTCATTGTATCGAATTAATCTCGTGAATAAGCATCCTTTGATAGCGCAGTGCTGGGGATCTATCTTTGACGATAGTACCTCCCCCGAATTTGTTAGGGCACAGAGTCAAATAGATGGGGTGTGTGTGGACTTGACCCGTGCGCGAGGGTTAAGCTAATTTATAACAGAGTCGTGGAGAACGTCCCTGATTTCCGCTGGTAATACGTAAAAATGAAACAAAAACTGGTGAAATCTAGATCGGCTCACCATGACTTGAAATGACTTTACGTGCGTTCTTAAGCCGATTTAACGTGTACTGCTCTGACAACCGTTTGTGCACATACCTAAATGAAAACAATGACCAAGTTAGATACGCAAAAGTTCTTGTAATGGTGGCACCATAGGACAAACTTAAACCACTGAAAATTGGCCTCAGATCATCTCAGGCGTTTTTTATCAAAGGCACTCCAACTGTGCCTAATGAGGTAAATGGATTTTAGACTTTGATTTTGGGAAGTTATTTAGGTATAAACTATTCTTAGTCTTAACTGACACATGTCACAGAAAAACAAAAGAACAAAGGTGATTGAATTCACAAACTCACCAGTCATCCATGGTTGCACGAGAGAGAAAAGAGGAATTTTGAAGCCTGGGACGAGTCAATGATGAGCCGAACAAAAATGGCGGAGGCAATCAGTGGCAGCGAATGCACAAGGATATACACAAGTTAGCTAAGTTATGGAGAGAAAGAAAGAATTTCACGGTTAAGTTAAAAACATATAATTGTATTGTATTAACAGATTTTCAACACAAAAAAGGAGGGATTCCTCGCGATCACTCATTTTTATCGCATAAAACACTGACCTGAAAAAGGGGAATGAAATGGGGTTGAAAAACAAAATTGAAAAATGTGCTCCTGAAGGCAAAAAAAGTTGGCTTCTTCCGGTTTCCGCTTCCTACGGAGCGGATTAAACTGATGACTAAAAATGAAATGATCCTTGTCACTCTTTCAGCTCGCATCGCAAACACTGATGTTCCGGTGTCACATTCTTTTTAGCTTCTCTAACATATTAAAACATAAGAAAGAGCTCTACTGTTGAGAACTGTTCAACTCTATTTACTTTTATTACAAGTTTTAGGGTTTTATCTCCGGATTTAGAAATGAAAAGCACAACTGCACTGCAGCCCAATCAAATAGTGAAAAAACTGCGCATTTTGGGATTCTCTCCCCTCCCCTCCCCCACCTCCCCCACCTCCCCCGCCAAAAATAGCCAAAAATATAAATAGCAAAATTAAGTTGGTGTGGCAACAAAGTGTTGCTGGCGTTAGTAGGCTTTGTTAAAATCACTGGAAATGGAGAAATCGTTCTCTTATATAAAAGCACTGATAAATTTTTAGTGATAAGCCATCATAATGGTCCCTTTTTTATTTCATAAAATATTAATATTGTACTAATGCAGTCAGAACTATGTATATCCGACGCAGCACACTGAAACCGGTTTGAGAATTTTCTAGCCAAAAATTGATTAAAATAATGAAAATGAAATGGAGCGATAAAAATATCAATCACATTTGATTATAAAAAGCCGGAATGATCACGAATTAAAAAGCGTCTCCAAATCAAAGGTTCAAAGCGGTCTCTTATCATGATACAATTCTTTATTCCTTTGTTGGTTTCGTGTGGATCACTTTGTTCATTGGCAACCACTATCGGACCTCAACAACAGAATAACAGCAGCTTGAAAAATTCATGTGGGGTAAGTCATAGTAGTTAGGAAAAAGTGTAAAAGAGCTAAGGCGCGTAGAAACAAATCAATTTCGTTTAAATCGTACTGGAGTATTGCTTGTAGGGAACTTCATTTCTTTATATCAGGATTGTACACAAGGCAAAATTTAATCCATTACTTTCTTTGGAGCATCTAAGTTTCTCTTTAAGTGAGGGCTCAGATCTTGCAGTTAGGCGCACGAGAAGCCATTACCAGGATCACAGAGGAATTTTTTTCGGCACAAGTCTGGGATAGCAGGGTGGCTAATTACAAAAGTGTCTCTTTTCCCAGTATTACCCTACCTTGATATTGGGTTTCTATCTAACCGCGCTGGCTGGGTTGTCATGTTACTGATGTAATNCATTGGCAACCACTATCGGACCTCAACAACAGAATAACAGCAGCTTGAAAAATTCATGTGGGGTAAGTCATAGTAGTTAGGAAAAAGTGTAAAAGAGCTAAGGCGCGTAGAAACAAATCAATTTCGTTTAAATCGTACTGGAGTATTGCTTGTAGGGAACTTCATTTCTTTATATCAGGATTGTACACAAGGCAAAATTTAATCCATTACTTTCTTTGGAGCATCTAAGTTTCTCTTTAAGTGAGGGCTCAGATCTTGCAGTTAGGCGCACGAGAAGCCATTACCAGGATCACAGAGGAATTTTTTTCGGCACAAGTCTGGGATAGCAGGGTGGCTAATTACAAAAGTGTCTCTTTTCCCAGTATTACCCTACCTTGATATTGGGTTTCTATCTAACCGCGCTGGCTGGGTTGTCATGTTACTGATGTAATCAGCAATTAACGTGCAGCGATCGTGGTAAAGCAAGCACTCCAGATTCTAAAAACCGAGCCATCCTGACTCATGCTGATCTGTCCCTATAAACAGTGAATGCAAGCGGAGGAAAATAAGTCGGGCGTTTCAATAATTCCCTTCAAGAGTAAAACAGTAGGGAAGGTAAAGGTATTATAAAAATGCTCTCCCTTGAAAGAAGTAGTGGAAATTTATTTCTAGGTTTCCCGCAAGAACGATAGCTAGGCTAGGAGCAAATCTAGGTTAGCTTGCGATATAATCCACGTAAACCTTACCTTTCATTTTGGTGTTAATATTCAGCGAACAACATTTTTATGTCGGTACCTTCATTAGCCGCGAAACTCCTGCTTTAACTGCTTTATTATACTTCTAAAATTGTCCGATTCGTATTTGATTTTGTGGAATTTAAAGGGACAGGTTCACGGTTAAGAGCATGCTCATTATTAAATTCCCGGATTAAATTACGTTTTTCCAATTTATTATTAATTCTATCGGTTAATAATCCCACTCATACGTATCTCAGCGATCTCAGAGTGTATTTCAAAGTAACCTGAAGTAGGATGGAGGAGTACCAAAATCGCAGAAAAGTCAATGGATTATGCCAACACTACCAACGTTGAATTCATTGTTGACGCGACGGTTTTATCTCATGGTTGATTAATTTACAGCTATTTGCAATTATTTAAGTTGATCAAGTGCAGGTGTCTGTCAGGGGAGTATGCAGATTGGTTCTTTGACAACATTATGACATGATCACATTGCTTGCATAGACGATACAGCACGTCCCGACAACCAAACAGCATTTTGATAAATGAGCATGCGCTGAACCGTGAACCTGTCCCTTTAACCGACGCTTTTTTTCCTTGTTTTTCTTTGTTCTTTATAGAAATTCATAAAACGACGTGGCTTTCCAGGTATTCCAGGATCAAATGGTATGCCAGGAATGCCTGGTATGCCTGGAATGCCAGGGCCGCAAGGTCCACAGGGAAAAGAAGGAGCAAAAGGTCAGACTGGTGACAAGGGAGCGAAAGGTTTTATGGGATCAAAAGGAGAGAGAGGCCACGAAGGACTTCACGGGAAGAGTGGCCCGCCAGGAATTATGGGAATGAAAGGAGAGCCGGGATCTGTTGGAGCTGCAGGAAAGAAAGGAGACAAAGGACAGAAAGGAGAACGTGTGGACTGTAGTTTCGCTGGTCCCGTGCCACAAACTAACTGGAAACAATGCGTGTGGAAAACAGGCGATTTAACCGATGATGGGAAAATAAAGGTAAGAGATAAGGACTTTAAACCCTTTAAACCCTAAAATGAAAATTCAGATTCTCATTTCTCATTTCGCTATACGTTTCCTATAGAAGTAGTAGGGAGAAGATATTGAAGTATCAATTAGATTCACCTTCTTTGATCACTTCTTTAATTCTCATGACCATTCTATTTTACAAGGCAGTAAAATTACATAGGGAAAATTTATGCACATCACACTTTTAAGGGCTTTTAAGCCTTTCAAAAGGGTTAGCTAAAGCCTATTCCTGTCTGTAACCACGTGACAAGGCAGCCCTTTTGGTTGTGTGTTGGTGGTCAATACAATAGAATTTTTTCTCGAAGAAGTTACATGAAAATAGGGTTTAGTTCCCAGTTTGTTCTTAACCCTGTCTCACCATCAACTTGGCCGCCGTGATGTCACGTGTAAACCAGCAATAAGTAAGATACCTCACGTTGTATGAATTCAAAGTGAAGTTCTTTGTTTATTTTTGGTCCAGGAATGCTCGTTTACAAAGCTGCATTGTGATTCAGCACTCAAAGTCTCATTCCAGGGAAACACGAGAGTCAATGGCGCTGGCAACAAATGTAATAGGTGGTACTTCAAGTTCAATAATGAGGAATGCAGTGGACCAATGACAATTGAGGCTGTCGTTTACAGTAAATGGCCATCCGGAAAACCGAATCTGCTGCATCACCGATCATTTGAGGGCTACTGTGAGAATATTCCACGGGGAGAAGTAACAGTGGAATTGTGGGTAGGCCAATGTGATGGTGGCTATACCTTGGGTGAAGCTACTACTGGCTGGAATTCAGTGTCCCGGATAATGATTGAAGAAGTACCCAGGCCCCAGTCTTAACGAACGACTTTTAAATCCTAATTGACTCTTAACCCTTCACTAAGGTAACGCCAGGCAAATTTTGAGTGATGATTTATAAAAATGTAAGGTTGTTCATGACAGTATGTTTTGTTTAATATAAAAATAGTAGAACCGTAGTAAAGACTATTTTATTGTCGCTATTAGAAGGCGTGAAATTTCATTAAATGGTGGTGATGGCAAGGTCAATCAGTTCGAGTGATGGTAATTGCTCTTCTTGTTCTGCTGTTTTCCCTCGTGGGGTTTAATCAGATGGTAGCTTTGCTGTCCGCATTATATTTGGTTTCAACATTTTATTGCCCTGAAGTTGGTGTTATGGTAAACCCTTGGAGTATGATTGCTGAGGCATTGAATTCATGTTTGAACGCCTCTTTTCTCCACAGAGGCTTCAGCGGGTAATCCAAAAAAACTAGCGATAATAAATTCCCCTACCCACCGTCCCCCGCGCGCTTTCTTTCTCCCTCTCCCCATCCTCCCCTCCCCCTACAACACAAAGAGGCCTCTGTGCAAGACAGAGTTTCAACCCAACAGTCCACGTGTTCTGTAGTTTTGATTTTCAGGGCAAATTGTGTCAAACACTTTTACCACTTTTTTATTTGTAGTATGGACAAGTAAATATAAATAAACCGGTCAAAACAAAAAAGGAAACAGTTTTGATTTCCTTTAATGCTAGACGTATCTCTCGATTTCGTCTCGGGAATGTGTTCCAAACGTGACTACTTTCAGTGATCACAGGGGTCTTGCCTTTTTCCTTCTAGAATCTTCTCCTCCGTTGTGAAAAAGCTAGAGACTCAGTAGCAGTAACAGTAACAGTCAAGTGTTTTGATGGCCTAATAATAGAAACACATAGCAGAAATAAGAGCTTGATTGTCTGTTAACTATGTAGGAACAGGGGCGGATCCAGGATTTTTTTAGGAGGGGGTGCACTCGTCTCTTGCTCTACTTCAACACCAATAAACCACATAGTTTTTTTTTTTGCAGAATACCAGTTGTATTAGAAAACCGCAGGTCATCTCGGGTGTGTGTGTTGGGGGGGGGGGGGGGGGCCCCCCTGCCCCCCCCCCCTGGCCCCGCCCCTACGGAACGACACAAAATATATCTTGTGCCTCCATTATCACAACTCAAACTACTTTTTATGTTATTTGCGGTGTGCAGAGGTGCTTTTGAAGAGGCCCGGGCTGACCGGGGGGGGGGGGGAGGGGGGGCTTGCGCACCCCCTGCACCCTCCCCCTAGATCCGCCCCTAAGGAACGACATAATATATGCGCATCGAGGTTGCTTTGTCATACACATGAAAAACCAACCTATACCGGTATCTCCATACATTTTTTGGTTCACTGTTTTAGTGCGGGCGCCTTCGTTGTGACAAAAAGCTACTACGTGTAAAGTTATTGGCTCAGGTCAGTTTGAAAGGTCATCATTTCTTAGAATTCACACGGGAAAAATGTTGCGAATCAGGAAGTTTTCGGCATATGGTATTCAAAGTCAGTGTTAAAAAAACAGCTACTCAAAATAAATAAATAGTATACTACTTAAAGGATACTAATCAGCTCAATTTTAAAGGTGATCATTACGTGGCTTTCCCAAGGGAAAAATGCTGAACATGTATATCGATCTGCCTTAGTCGTCAATAAATGATTCAACCGTATAACGGTTCAGCTTAAAGAAGCACTAGTGTCCGTTGTGTAAAGGATTCGGAGGTGTAGTTCCTCGCCATGGTTCAATTCGTCGTTGCTTTGTTACTTTTGTGTGGATCAGTTGGTTCTCAGACAACCACATCCAAACCTCAACAACTAAACAGCAGCAACGTCAAAAACTTATGCGAGGTATATACTAAACTTTAACTCAGGCACTTCTCACGTTTTGCTGGGTGTTTTGTATAGTTTACTTTGAATACCAAAGAACTCCCAAAGCCCTGAAAAAAGTGAAGTTTAGGGAAATTCAGTGTGCATTTGGGTTAGTTGAAATTATTTAATAAGAAAGTAAAAAAAGCAATTTAGATGGATTTGAATTGAAATGAAAGATTGAGGTAAAAGATAAAAGAAATACAGTTATAATCCTCCGAAATGTGGTTACAAGCACTCTGACGGGCGAAGGATCAACTACGTATTCACAGGAAATTGTAAGCCATAAGAAGAACATCGATCGGTTTTTACATTTTTTTTTGCAAATTATAATGGTTAAACTGTTATCATAAATTACATCGTCACTGTCAATTCGAAACAAATATCAGAAACTGAAGATGATAGATCGATTAAAACTTATTTTATTTAAAAATCAAATTATTTTGTTGTCCTATTTCTACTTTACTCGGTTGTCTCCGTCTATCCAGACCATTTAGTTTAGTGATTAGTCGAAATGACGAGCTCCATGTTCTTTCTAGAAATCCATAATGAAGCATGGCTTTCCAGGCATTCCAGGATCAAATGGAATGCCGGGAGTGCCAGGGATGCCAGGGCCGCAAGGTCCGCAGGGCAGGGAAGGAACAAAAGGAAAGACTGGCGCTAAGGGAACGAAAGGTATGATGGGACCAAAAGGAGAGAGAGGTCGCGAGGGGATTCATGGGAAGAGTGGCCTGCCAGGAATGATGGGAATGAAAGGTGAGCCGGGATCTGTTGGAGCTGTAGGAAGGAAAGGAGACAAAGGAGAGAAAGGAGAAAGCGTGAAAGGAAGTTCGGCTGGTCCTGTGCCACAAACCAACTGGAAACAGTGTGTTTGGAAAAGCCAGCACAATACGAAAAACGGCAAGATAAAGGTAAAACAAAATTGGTGGTTTTGGCAATTTTATGACAAATTGAGCATGGTTATTAGAGAGGGTTATTAAGATTCACGTTTACCGCAAACGGCAAACGTAAGATTCAAGTTGACAATTTCTCAGAACAAAAAATAAGCAGATAAAAACAGTCCCGAACGATTCTTATGGATAAAACTGCCATAAAACTTCTTATTTTTGTACAGAAGCAATAAACGGTAAACGGAAAATAAGCGGAAAACTTGGTTACGTGGTACAAATTGACGTTGGCTGTTTGGCGCGCGTAAACGTGAATCTTAATCTCTCTATTACCGAAATCCCACCTGGGGAGTGGGAACTTGTGAAAAATAAAAAATAAAAAAACGGAGAAGAAACGTACGTCATAGTTTTTTTCTTTATCGATGTCTTAGAGTTCCTTTTTCTACTTTTTCTACTTTCCACTTTTACCTAATTTGGTGGCCTTGAAAACCTGATATACTCCTTTATGTAATTTTATTCCAGGACTGCGCGTTTAATAAGCTGTTGTCTAATACAGCAATCAAAGTCTCATTCCAGGGAAATACTAGAGTCTACGGCACTGCTTCTAAGTGTAACCGCTGGTATTTCAAGTTCAATAATAACGAATGTAGTGGACCAATGACGATTGAGGCTGTCGTTTACAACTCGTGGTCATCCGGGAACCCCAATCTGCTACATCACCGGTCGTTTGAGGGATACTGTGAGAATATTCCTCAAGGCGCAGTTAGAGTGGAATTATGGGTAGGCCCGTGTGTTGGTGGCTATACCTTGGGTGATGCCGTCACTGGATGGAATTCAGTGTCCCGGATAATGATTGAGGAAGTATCCAGAACTCAATCTTAAAGAATCACTCTCAAACCTTGCTGTCTCTTTAAAAAAAACCTAATTCATGCACCAACCCTAATTCATGTACTGGGAACTGTAGATTTAAATATAATTACGTATTAAACTTAGGAGCACTGATATCTAAGAAACGGCCGAAAATATATCTGATAGCTGACATTCGAGCGCCACCATAGGCTATAGAGGGTGTTCACATCACATAACATCACGGTGGCCATATAACTGGTTTTCTAAAACAATGGAACGCGGCCGCCATGTTGTCGGTCCAGCGAAAAAATCCTGTGGGAGTTGAACTCTTTTGTTATGTAAAACGCTTTTTTTTGTTCCAATAAATCCACGTGATAAATCCACGTTGTTCCACCTGAGTGAGAACGCTCCATTGTAATACAACTTAGGACAAAACTGTTGAGACAGTTTTATCCGTTTTTTAAGTTTTGCGACATAAGTTACTTCTCTTCTAAACAGAAAAGGAAAACCCCCTCTCCACCCACTATTCAAAGCTGTTTTGGTCTAAGAACCAACGTGTATAGTTCTCCTCAGTGTTACTTAAATGACTTTGGATGAAGACAGTTTTCATTTTTGCTCGGATGAAACAGGGGCGGATCCAGGATTTTTTTTAGGAGGGGGTGCACTCGTCTCTTGCCCTACTTCAACACCAATAAACCACATAGTTTTTTTTTTTGCAGAATACCAATTGTATTACAAAACCGCAGGTCATCTCGGGGGGGGCGGAATGCGCACCCCCTGCACCATCCCCCTAGATCCCCCCCCCGTGAAAGCAGAAATACGTATTTTTACGATGAGTCTCAGCTGGTTTTGTCCGAGTTTGTAGCATAGTAACTCAGAGCGAGAACAGAGCAGCATTAACGGTAATCCATTGATTTACAATTCTACTGTATCAGTTATATTCCGACACTTGAACTTTAATGACGTAACAGAGGTTGAACTCGATTTACGATGTAACGGTAACGATGGCGGCAGCAAGGGCAAGACGAACAACAACAGCAGCAGTATTTGACACAGCTTGCGCGAAATTCAGGACTAAAAAACGCGTACACCACCGGGTTTAAACAAGAACTAGATACTTGCGCAATAAGACACCAAAATCGTAAGTATATATCACCCTCCCCATCACCCTCTAGCGACAAACCGTTCAAAAATCCATAAACGGAAAGCAAATCCACCATGAAATTTAAACCCCAGCATACGGCAAAAACAAGAACAGCGATTACCATCAATCGAATTGATTTCGCTTTATATTTTGCCACAGCGCTGTGTATTTGTCCACTCTGACTTCGTCTCCGCAAGCTTAGAGCAATTTTGGTATAGGTGATCAACATGTACATGAAAGGAGCAATAAACGACATGACGAAAAACAGCGTTTTTGACAGCTGCGCTTTCCAGCCTTTGGTAAGGTGACAAACAGTATATTTCCTACACGTTGTTCCGTTATTTTCTCTCCAGCATATTTCTTGTGATTCGATATTGATGCTGATTATAAACGGCGTAGACGTGATGAAGGCATAAATCCAGATACATGTCACTGAGATTAAAAATGTTTTCACACGTCGCGGAGCCAGGCTTTTAAAGGGCTGGAAAACGTTCCTATTGCGGTCCCAGGCAATGGCGACCAGACTGCCAAATATCGCTGATGCACTTGCCAGTTCTAAAACCTGAATGACTTCACAGTGGTCAGATCCTGGAATTCTTAACAGGGGAACGACTATATGAAAGATAACATGAGTCAATGATAAATGGAATATCAGAAAGCTGGAAATACTCGATCGTATTTTACGGCTTCGAAACATAACGTAAATTACCATAAGATTGAGTAGGTTACCGGAGACGAGCAAAAAGACGTAGACTGCCCACAAAAGATAGAGGTTAACCTTAAGAAACGACGGAGACGTTTCATTTCTCTCGGTCCTATTCAGTAGTGCAGTTTGATTCATTTTATCTCGCACGAAAACATCAACTTTGAATCACGCCCTGTAGTTTCAGTTCATCTCTTCTTTCGAAGATAACGAGGGCCGAATAGCCCCAATGATCAAACCAAAACTCGGCTCCAAACCTTTATCAAAGGTGAAGCTAATATAGCGGTTTAAAATATAATTCGTATGGTCCAAAATTGTTCCGACACTCTTCCCAAATGTTCGGTATGCTTTGCTGGTGTTGAAAATATCGTTTATGCGGGCAATCAAATTGAAGAAGGTTTGAACGCTATTGCACGATCCAATGTGCGGCGCGAGCTCTTCTTCGCCTCGACTGAGCAGTGCTTCTCTTCGGTACTTTTAATGACGTTGTGTACTAGGTGGATTTACTGTGCCTTTTCCGACAATTGAGGGCTCTTAAGCGACAGTTTCCTGCTTCGTCCTTTGTCTATTGATGTCGCTGAAATTAAACTTGAGCTGTAGGAGCTCAATGCTGAATGTGCTTTAACTGTGCTCTCCTCCGAATTCCCCAAAATTTCCACTGTGCAACAAAGTTCTTGGACCACATTTTGTGAAAACTGGCGGCGGTTTCGTAAGTGAAATAAGAGGTAATTTTCTATAAATTTCTACACTTCTTGACAAGCATCTATAGGTTTTAAATACCTGATATTAAAATACACAAAGAATCTTAAGAGACCCACCATTCAAAAATCGGAAAAATTTAAAAGTAATTTGAAAAACGTTTTGTCTAGAACAGAAAAAAAAATTATTAGAAGACGACAAAGTTTGTTTTTCTCTTACGAACAAAAAAAGCAGAGTCGTGAATGGTTGACACCTGCTTTCTGGCACAACTTGTGTAAATTAATCTAGTGGCATATACAGCGACCTCATTATAGTTTGTGTCATTAAAAAGTTTCATATTTACTTAAAGAAAACGTTGGCTTTAAAATTGTTCTATTTCGGGTAATTGCCGCTGATGTCAATTAACGACACCGTCAGTTTGTGCCTGGATGATTGTAACTAATATTCTTTCACAAGTTTAGCTAGTTTACCTAAAAGTTCTTTTTGAAGGAGAAATGTCGATCGAAAGAGGCTATGATAATTTAGTGGAGGACTGGGTATATTTCACGGTCAAGCGTAGAACTTCACGTTCATTTTTTGTTTGCTAAACTGCTTTGCTCAAGCCAAGTACTGTTGGTTTTGTAGTTGACAGTTCATTTCATTGGAAAGTCTGCCTCTTAGCAAGCTTCCAAGTCAGTAGGTAGATTACAAACAAAAATCAATTAATAATTATCACGGCTTTGTTTTCAATTTTATGATTTCCTATAACTGCTCGGTCAAAACAGTAAAATCAACCCGCATTTGGCGTTTGGAGTTAAACTGTTTAAAATATTGTTAATATCGAAGTCAGAAAGAAGCACTGAGTTTTCTTAGACTTAGTCTAATAAATCTCGATCTACTCAATGAACGGCGTAAAAAACCTTGAGACTTTCCATTATAAAGCATGATTATTCAAGGTTAAATTTAGCCATGAGTATACAATTGCTTATTAAAATATCAATAACTGTTTTTGAAAACTTGCTTTTGTCGTGGACAATTAAGTTTTTGGAACAAGGAAACTAAGAAAAGTTTAGAGTAATCAACAAAAAGTAATGAGTTTTTAACAATAAAATCTCACCCGAGGGACTGCTAGAGGGTAGCAAATCTCATAACGTCCTTTCTGATTAGTACAAAATCAATTAAACCAAAGAGGTTCATTTGGTTTCTGAATTTTTTGTAAACACACTTTTAGATTCTCATTCGCGATAGGTTGACAGGCAACGGCAAACCTAGGGCACTGTGGATTGTCTACTATCGTACCGAATCATAAAGGCTGATTCACACTAACCTCGAACCCAGACCTAAGCTCAGGTACAAGGAAACGCACGCGTGAACTGTCTCGAGGCGAATTTCACACGTAGTTACAAACGCAAGGATTACGTAACTAACGAACGAACTACCCGAATGACATTATAAACACAAATAAACTTTATTTATTGTATCTTACAAGATTTTTATCAAATATTCGTGAACTTTTTATACTACATGTAGCTATGACTTGTTTTACGCCTTGTGGAAAGACTAAGAAAACCTCTGCATAGGAGGCCACAGGAATATTCCTTTCATATGTTTACAGTAGCTTGTTTTCTGGTCAGGAAACCGGTGTAAAAGGACCTGATGCTAGTAACAGATTCCTTAGAGTAAAATGTAAGCAATGTACTGGCGTTCTTTTTGTGGGGTAGGACCCAACTTGTAGCGTCTCACTTTTGGATGACGTGCGGCTAAGGAACAGAAAGAAAAGACAAGCAAGATTTTCTGGCGAGGTCGATCTAAATTTTCTCTTATATATATAATCCGATTGGCCCTGAGGTGAGAGACTGATAAATTAAGAACTTCAAACGAAATACTAAGTCTATTTTGTCGACTCTTAACTGTAGTTTCTGTTGTGTTGTAGTGGAAGCAAGCAGACCGTGTTACGATAGGCCACTTGCACTAAGAGGTCACGTGACCAATACTTCCCTTAAACAATTAGTTGGAATCCTGCTGATGCCAAAAATTGACAGAGCACATAAAAATTATCTTACACCCGAAATTTGAGAGGAAAAGCAGTAAAGGGAGATATTTTATGATTTGTATTGGCCGCCATGTTGGAGGGCATACTCTTGCCCTCCAACATGGCGGCCAAAACTAGTTTTTGCTTACATCTTGTTAAACTTTTTATAGTTATGCTCAGATGTGCTGCAAACATTACCAAATCATTTTTTCAACATTTTCCTTGAAGTTTAAGTGCAAAATTTACGTTCAGAAAGAAGTAATTCCTAATTTTCAAAATCACATTTTGGCCACGTGACCACCTACAGACTTACTCATTTTAAGACAACGGTGCAGGTTTGACAAACCAAATCACTTTTATTTTGTTTAGGATATAACCCACTAATCATTTTTTGAAGGCAAAATCATATAACTTTCATTTTCATAAAAACGATGTCACATGAGCTCTTAGTGCAAATGGCCTATTTCTCGTCGAATACTATACAATCACGTGGTATGTTGCATTCTCCCCTCATAATTTTAACCTGTGGTCTGTCTTGGGCCTAGAAATAGACCGATATACTGCTAATCGAAGTGGGGGTCGCACCACTTATATGTACGACCGTAAGCAGACTCTCAAAGAAAGTGTCACAACTTTGATTTTCAAACTTACTTTTCTCTATTCGCTTCATCGTCTTCATCATCAGGGTTACAAATGGCGTGAGCATTCCACAGCTTCACGCAGCTATCCACACCACCTGAAAATAAATGAATGAATGAATGAATGAATAAATGAATAAATGAATGGATTAATGAATAAAAAATAAAGAATTTGCCACTTTAGAAGCGAGAGGGTAACCGGAGCCGAAATGCGTCCCGCAATTGCTTCTGGGATAGTTACTGGGTCGAGTCGGTCAGCTATTGGCTAATTCTTTCCCTCTCCCTAGTAACAATCCCAGAAGTCATTGCGAAAGTTAACTCGACCAAGTTTTTTTCCTGTTTCTAAGGTGGCAAACGAAGGCGAAAGTGAAGCTTTTAAACATTACACAGTATTCGATTGGCGGTTAAGGTGATGATCTAAGCACATGAAAGAAAATGGTCATACTTGCCTGAAGCCAACATATTCCCGTCGCGACTAAAACGCATTGAGTACACTGTATCGGTATGTCCTTTCAGCTCTGTCAATAATGTCCCCTCTGCCAGGTCCCAAACGAGGATGCGCTTATCAACACCTGAGTAAAAAGAGAGCCAATGAGATCACAAAACACTGGTATTCTTATAAGAGTATCTCAAAGTACGACAAGTTGATCTACAAGGAACTGGAACATCAACGAAATTAACCTGAAGAAGCAAGATAGCGCCCGTCAGGGGAGAATGCCAGTGAATAGATGGCTCCCTACAAATAAACGAAAACCATAAGTTATCGCCTCGAGACAATTCCTAGAATACAGAAAACAAGTTAAAAGAACACTACCATTCAGAAGAATTGCCGCCGATGCTTTAACCGCAAGGTCATACACAATAGGATTTCGTCCATAAAGATAAATAACAGTGCCCAGTTTCTCGCATACCTTATGGCCGGTAAAAAACCGGACCGAGCTGCCTGTATTTAGATCCCAGAGCCTCACGGTCCGATCACATGATCCGGTGGCGACGTAGTTGCAGTTGGGATGAAAAGCAACTCTCTGAAGGACAAAAAAAATAATAATAATATTCAACATAAAAGTTGAGAACATTAAAATCAACAAGAATCAAAATAAAAGTACCGAATGAATAGAAGAAAAGAAAAGAAAACAAAGAAAACAAAACAAAACAAACTATAAAATCTATAAAACGTTTCCTATTTCATGGGTGACCTATAGGGCGAAATGTGGTTTTGGGACGATGAATCGATCCCTAAATGTCACTAGTTAATAAAAGGTCCAGAAATGCTGCGAATCTGATTAACTAACTATCTCTCATCGAGCCCATAAAATCTTATGAGAGTGCTCGTGATTATTTAAAGACGAACTCTGTTTTAAAATGGGAAATTTCAACTATGCTTTTGCGCACATTCCTTGATATTAAAAAAAGATAATAATAAAAAAAATAGGTAGGACTCTTACGTTGACATCAGACACGTGACCAGCCAGGATTCTGAGTGGCTGTGGGTGGTCTGTGCTCCATAGTCGGGCTGTACGGTCATGTGATGCTGTGGCGAAGTAGTGTCCGCGTGGACTGAGGAGAGATTCACAAATTCGGACCTTCAACTGACTACAAGGACTTCTTTGTTTTGTTTAACACGAATCTTAGAGAAATGACCGATTCGAAACGAAAAGAAACTCCAAGTTTAAAAGAACCTTACCATGTGTTTAGTCTAGGGTACTATTAAACTGAGAAAGCTATTTCCCAGGCTCTTCTGGAGGCGGCAACTCCTTTTTTACAAGGTCATCCGAACTGCTTTCCCGCGCTTTTAACTGCCCGCACCATTTGCTTCGACTTTTGTTTGGCTCATTTGACTGTCAACTCGTATTGCGATCGGCCAGAGTTATTCCTTGCTTTTAACACCCCTCTACCAAACTAATCACACTCTTGGGTGCCATGAATCTAACAAAGTTAGACAACTCACCAAAACTGCACGTCCCAGACCGGGTAGTTGTGCCCTTTATAACATACTAAAGAGCTGAAGGTATAAAGACTCCAGAGGCGAACTAGAAGAAAAAAAGAAATGTTAGAACCAAAAATAATGAAAACTAAGCCTTCTTGCAATAAATGCGCCCTGTGTCATAATTCAAAGGAACACTTGCAAGATTGAAAATAGAAATAACAAACACCTGTTCTATCAGCTGAAGATGAAAGAAGAAATGAATTATCGTTGTTAAAACTCGTTGAAAATACGGGTCCTGAATGACCGATCAAACGTCTACACTCTGCAGCAGTTCTGATAAGCGAAACAAAAGCGTCAGTTAAACAAATGATAACAATTTTTCATGGTTTATACTCTTTTCGACGATAGAAACTGGCAAACGACGTCAAAATATTCAAAATTCAAGTGGAACAAAGGTTCGTAGGCGAGTGTTTTAAGCATTGTAAAAATTCTCATCGACCATAGCTCACAACCAATCAGCGCGCGACAAATCGCTCAGTCATTGGAAAATCCATAATGGCGTAAGCATGTCAAGTCAAGTTCCTAGGTAAAGTTTGCGCGAGTTTTAAACCTGGTAAATGGCTCGTGCCTCGCAGAACTTCATGACGCAGGCACTCTTTTATCATACAATCATACAATACATGCAAAATGTAATATGGTCTTAATAAACTCGATACTGGATAGACGCCGCTCTTTCATATTTACTTGCAGGGATCAGTTACTAGCAGTTATCTTTCATTTAAAACCGTACATTTACTTTTAACAATCCCAGTAAAATAAATTTACAAAACCTGTGATCCATGATTCGTTCAAGTACGTCCTCTGTAAAAACAAGACGATGAAGATACATCGTTAATAGTTAGGCAGCTGGCAGCATGTAGAGCTATGTAGCGAAAGCGTCACTGAAAAAGAGCATCTGAATTTCACTGTTCTTATTCCATCTCGCTTAAATGTACGCCAATTTCTTAAATTGTAGAGGACCGCATCCAAGTTGAAAGTGGAAGGGGAAAAATTGTCACCCTACTGTTTCACGCCTTTACAACAAGACTCATTAAGAAAAAGCTCGCGTTGTAGTTGTATAGAGGATGTCAAACGGCCGGCGAGGTTTTGCCTTAGACGTTGCAAGCATTTAACCAGAGATGCCAATTAGCCAATCACGCGCATAATCAATCCAATAGGTCATTTCCGTCTTCCAAAAACTCTCTCTTTCAAAACGAGACTAAGTGCAAAAAAACCTTTCTATATCAATGGCTTTGCACTTCGCCTCGCTCTGAAACAGAGGCTTTAGGAACCTCGAAAGTTTCACTGAAGCTCGCGACGTATTTTCCTGCCACATGTATTCAGAACAACTTTCTGATTGGATAATCTGAGTGTCTGTCTTGTGANTAACCAGAGATGCCAATTAGCCAATCACGCGCATAATCAATCCAATAGGTCATTTCCGTCTTCCAAAAACTCTCTCTTTCAAAACGAGACTAAGTGCAAAAAAACCTTTCTATATCAATGGCTTTGCACTTCGCCTCGCTCTGAAACAGAGGCTTTAGGAACCTCGAAAGTTTCACTGAAGCTCGCGACGTATTTTCCTGCCACATGTATTCAGAACAACTTTCTGATTGGATAATCTGAGTGTCTGTCTTGTGATTGGTCAAAATATTTATTACTTGACAATCTAATTTTCAATGACCTGCTTCCTTATCGATTTGAGCAAGTTCGGAGGGAGGTTTGAGCATGCGTAGTTTCTTGGGAGTGAGGCTCCAAACACGAACACTGCTGTCCTCAAATCCACCGGATAGAAGGCTCGAATCCTCTGATATACTAACCGTGTTTAAACTACGAGAAAAGCAAGAAGATTAAGAGAGTATTAATTCATTACGAAGTACATAAGATATTTCGACCCAGAATTAATGGTGAAAGGTCACCTCCGCAACTCTGTCATTTTAATAGATCTTCCTAACGTTTAGATATAACGCAATCTTTAAACTTAATATTTAAATGTTTTACAATTTAATGCGCATTGTTCGCCACACGCACATGGAAAGTGTACCGCTCAAAAAAAGCCATAAACAGCTTTTGCAAATTCACTGCTTTTGCTAATCCTTCCTTGCTTGTTAACAAACGAAAACCTACGGTGTAGTGAAATCAATTGTCTCCGGCAGCGTTTTTGCAAGATATATTTCTTTTGCTTTGTTTTGGGATGAGTTGGTTTTAACTTTTGAGTCTGTAGATGAATTCCTATAGGGTGGCGATTCAAATAAAAGCTACTGAGCAGTACTTTCCTTTGGTACTGTTTTTTTTTTATGTACAAGAAGGTTCTAACTTTTGAGTCTGTGGATGAAATCCTACGGTGTGGCTAATCAAAAGAAATACTCACGTGGGAGTATTTATACTTAGGTGCTCAACAACACGAAATTTTGAAAGATTCAGCCACCTTTAATGTTAATTTTGTTATTACCTTGAATGAGCATTGAGTACACTGTAAAAGCAGATAGAAGGAAGATTATCAGGACTAAGTGTTACTCTTTTAGCAGCTTCTCTCAGTAAAGTTATCTTCACTAGTTTATCACTGTCTTTCCTGCAAGGTGAAAAACTCCACTTTAAAATCGAATCTTATTCAAATAGTGTCAATGTTAGACTAGTAACCGGTCAAGTCGCCCGAAGTTATGATGCCCGAAAGTTTTAGTAAAGTCAATAGTAGTAAATAGTGTGTGTATCAGATAATGAGACAGAACAAGCCAGATAAATGTGTAATACGATTCATTCTTTAAGATCTGATGAGATGAAACAAGCCTGATAAAGATGATAGGATGCTGTTGTGCACGATAAAATTTTTGGGCGACATAACTCTGGTTTCGGGCGTGGTCAAACGTAAGCACAGGTGGCTGGAGTAGAGACAAACAGAATCAACAGCCAATGTGTACACTGCTGTATATGAACAATCCACCTTCTCCAAAAACTGAGTACCGCTATGTAGGTTATTCTATCATAGTTTACAATCCAAGAGGCTTCTGACAAAAAGTTTAAGAACATACCGACATGTTGATCCCTTAAAAGGTGAATATACTCAACAGTCTGTAGGTCGCAGCAGTTAAATCTGTTTGCATGTTAGTCACGGTAAGGTTTACAAAAAAGATTCTTAGAATTACACAAGATGATACTTACAGTGTTTACAGAATCGTGAAGGGCACGATGAGAATTGTGTAGCATGCGATGCGATTCGCGTTTCGCTAGAGGGTGGTAACTTACTTTTGCATGAGCAAGCTGTATCTAGTGGGACCACATACAGACCTACAGCAGTGCATTTCGTATTTCCAGTAGCATACTTACATGACTGGAAACTGAATCTGCCGGTTGAGTGGCGGAGCATTTGGGTTGTGTTCTTGTTTCTTCTTCCCTAAAGAGGTGTATCAGGCCATTGTGAAACCCATCACTCTATAACTACCTTGCACTGTACAATAGCGGATCCAGGGGAGGGGCCTGGGGGGCCCGCCCCCCCCCCCCCCTTTTAGATCAAAGTGAGGCCTGAAGGGCCGAAAAAAAATTTTTTTTCGAGACCGCACCCCCCCTTATCTCAGGGTCTGGATGACCGTGTCCCCCCTTATCTGAAGGTCTGGATCGGCCTCTGCTGTAAGTTGTCAAGGATAAATTGTCATCAAGACTGACCTTTATGGTACAGTTCAGGCTTTTCTTAAGTCTTATGGAATTTTTTTAGGGGTTTGATGGAAGAGAGTGGCAGAGAAACACCAAATTATGGCTTTATCAAATGAGTTGTTAAACTCAAACTAGTTACCACACAAGCAGACTAAAAAGCACATTTTGAGTGCTCGTCTTTCCTCAGAGTAAAGGATTTGTTGGTAATCAATGTCTTCAATGGCTCAACATCCATAAGTTTTTATTTTTTTTAAAGATGTTAGTAACGAGTATGGTCTTCATCTGTATTTATTTATACCAAGGGATTCTTTACCTGGCCCATTTGAATCTTTTTTTACTTTCTTTTTCTAAAGTAAGCAAACAACGACAAAATCAGTAATGTTGCAATAATTTACAGTGTACACTCTCTGCTTAAATCTCAAAGTTAACTACATATAAATTGGTTATTAAGCTCCTCTGACCACCGTACACTTCTACCAAAGTCATTAATGTCTTTCTTTTCTTTTTTTGGTCTTATTTGTTATTTTATATACAGTGAAAATATTACAGACTTGTGAATAAACTGAACTTAAGTGAACTTATGATTTTTGTTTGATATCGTTGTAATCATAATGATAATGTCACCTTTGGTTTGTCTTTATCATCCTCATCTTCATTCTCTTCTTCTATTACAACTCCAAGATCAGGCTCTGGTGGAATCCCATAATATACCTTGCTCTTATTAGCTGTAAATGGATAAATACAACATCCTCAAGAAAACAAATACATGTACTAAAGTGGACGTCTTAAAAAGGGATAGAGCCATTTTCTTATTGGACTAACAATAAATTACTAATAATTATTAACAATTTATCAATGAGTTATTTTAAACCTAAAAAATTCCCATTGTCTTTTTTATTGCTGTGGTCCTCCTCCTCCTCCTCCTCCTCCTCATCATTATCATTGGGGAGCAAGGGATGGCGCAGTGGTGAGAGTACTCGCCTCCCACCAATGTGGCCCGGGTTCAAGTCCCCGCGTTGACGCCATATGTGGGTTGAGTTTGTTGTTGGTTCTCTCCCTTGCTCCAAGACGTTTTTCTGCGGGTACTCCGGTTTTCTCCTCTCCTCAAAAACCAACATTCCAATTCGACTAGGAATCAGGTAGACGAAGAACCACTTTGTGGATGTGCTACCTCCAAATCATTATTTATTTATTATTATTCATTTATTATTTATTTATTATTCATCATCACCATTACTGTTCTCAACACCAAAATCCGAGCAACTTACCTTCAAATGTTGCCTCGCCCGTTACTGCACCTGCAGTGGCTTCTATAGTTTGCTTGTTTCTTGGCCTTCCTTCAAAAACTGTCCAAGGAAAAAAAAAACATTGTTGGATGCGTAAATTGCTATTTACAAGGCTAGCAAAATACTTGTACAGAGTACACTGCATTCTTCAGAAACATTCTGTACTATATGATTGCACGAGAAAACAAATTAAAGTACCATCAAAATGAAGATGTTGTTGAATTAGGGTCAGCAGTAGATCTTGTTGTTGGTCCTGTAAAATAAAATGCCATGAGAAATCACTCAATTTGTGTAAATCTTAAAACAATATACAAATTTATTACTCTGAATAACACGAAAATTCTTGACCGGAATTGACATAAAAATTGTCTAGGGACCACAGCTTTGGTTGATAGTTGCAAAACTGGTGGAAAATAGTATTGGAAACAGAACCTGAGGAAGGAAAAAGCTTCTAGCACACCTGTAAATGTTTCTTCAGAACTTGATATGTATCCTTTGACATCCTTATCACAAACTTGTTACTCCTACAATAGCAAAACAAATGTTTTTGGAATAGAGGATATTACATTGCCACGGCACAGAGATACGAAATTTCTCCATGAGTACTGAAATATTTTTAAACACTAGTTCATTAGTATTTAAACAATAATGACAGATAACTTGCACGTAAAGGGAAGGAAGAGGTCCAGAGGAACACCACGCCTATTTTGAAATGGTTGTTGTAGCTCACATCTATTGAATTAATTTCTTGTTTAACAATTTACAGTGTCATTTGAGAGCAAAATGTTCCAAAAATATAGTTAATTACACTACCAGATATGCCCTGACAGGCAAAAGCTACTTTAAGCAAATACATGTACAAAAGTCATGACAGTAAAGAGACTTAACTTTCCAGGAAAGACTTTGAAAAAGAAACTTCATGTATAGCTTCTGATACACAGTAATCCTTCAGTCATAAATAAAAAAAACCCCCTAAGATCTAGATCACTTAAGTTATTTTTCATGTCAATACCTTAATGTTCCCATGAACTCATTACTTTTCATGTGCTCGCGTCGGGTAATAGCAGCTAACTTATTCAGATCTTCTTCATGGTAATCTTCTTGACTTCCAAGGAAACACGCAAAGAAGGATTGTGCTGTAAATACAGTTATCTTAACTTTAGTTGGTTACCCAAAAAAACCAAAAGGTAGCCTAAATTTACGTAACACAATACCTTCCCCCAAAGCAGAAAAACCTGTACACCTGTGTACCTGTACGGAAGGCAATGCTATACATAGGCTTGACCACAGGCAATAGGAGCACATGTAGCATACATAGAAACACTGTTGTTCCAGATTTCTCTGTCAGATCTCTATCATTATTATACATTGTGCTCACAATCTGTCTTCTCATTGGCTAAGAGCCTACAGCAGCACAACCTAACATATAAGTTAGTTATNATGGTTGTTGTAGCTCACATTCAATTAACTTCTTGTTTAACAATTTATAGTGTCATTTGAGAGCAAAATGTTCCAAAAATATAGTTAATTACACTACCAGATATGCCCTGACGGGCAAAAGCTACTTTAAGCAAATACATGTACATGATAGCAAAGAGACTTAACTTTCCAGGAAAGACTTTGAAAAAGAAACTACATGTATAGCTTCTGATACACAGTAATCCTTCAGTCATAAATAAAATAAAAAACCCTAAGATCTAGATCAATTAAGTTATTTGTCATGTCAATACCTTAATGTTCCCATGAACTCATTACTTTTCATGTGCTCGCGTCGAGTAATAGCAGCTAACTTATTCAGATCTTCTTCATGGTAATCTTCTTGACTTCCACGGAAACACGCAAAGAAGGATTGTGCTGTAAATACAGTTATCTTAACTTTAGTTAGTTACCCAAAAAAACCAAAAGGTAGCCTAAATTTACGTAACACAATACCTTCCCCCAAAGCAGAAAAACCTGTACACCTGTGTACCTGTACGGAAGGCAATGCTATACATAGGCTTGACCACAGGCAATAGGAGCACATGTAGCATACATAGAAACACTGTTGTTCCAGATTTCTCTGTCAGATCTCTATCATTGTTATACATTGTGCTCACAATCTGTCTTCTCATTGGCTAAGAGCCTACAGCAGCACAACCTAACATATAAGTTAGTTATCTGCTAACAGATAAGTAGTTTGGATGTGCAATGCATGATTTCCAAAAGCAATGTCATACTGTGTTCTATGCAATGCTGTGTTTGTCCTTATTTTCTGAGAGCAAGAGTTGTGCGCCAGGGACCACCAGGCTCCGCTAGAGCACAGCCTTGTTACATGTACCTCCATCTTGATTAGTATTCTGGATATCACAAAAACCTCATCCAATAATTGTATAAAAAGTGTGACTAGAATAAATTGCTAGTCTTACCTTCTTTTTCACTTCCTTTATAAACAAGTTCTAGGTACATGTGAACAAACATTGGATACAAAACCATGGCCAACTCAGGCTAAAAACACAATATTTATTATTGTTAGTGTTTGTAAGAGGAAGTTTAATTTGTCACATCCTTAAAAACATATTGATGTTTTTAAATTTGCTGTAAACTATACATATGGTTATGAGTTCTCCACAAACACACACAAAAAATTAACAGATACAAAAATCAAGGATAAAATTGAACCATACATGATGATGCTAATAACAATAACAATAATGAGTTTTCAGCACATTAATTTTTATTGTCGATCATAAAATGTGGAAGGATTAACATTCTCACCTTGTATACATCCAAAGACTTTTCAACAAATGCTTGTAAACTATAAGAAAATTAATATTACTAACATTACAGGTTTGACATGCCTACTGTGCTATAAAATTGTAGGGTGACTTCAAGTTAATCCAAAGTGGGGTTTAATAGTCTTAAATGTTACAATGTATAAGGCATTGTCTACCTGCTATAATAGTCTTCATATCTTGTTGGGTCTGCATCACTAATAATGGTAAAAAAAAAAAACAAGCAAGCCACACGTCACAAGACAATACACAACTTAGTGTTAAGTCACATTTCACATGAGTAGATTTCAAGGCACGTAATATTTATTGAACTTTGCATTCAGAATATTTTAAGTACATGCATTGTACTTGTGTGATCAATCTATCTGGCAGACAGATGATAGAGACGATCAAAGCAAATGTTTCTGATATGATCTGTTTTAAAGTCCGCGTCGTTCAAGCAATTTCTCATCCTACCTATTATATGCAGATAATACTGATGAGATATCTGCCTCTGAATCTGGTGTTGTCTGCAGATTTATTTCTTCTATATCTTCCAAGCCATTGACCTCTTGTCTAAATATCTTCTCAGTTTCCTGAAGAAACAGACACAACAAGGAAGCGTTTAAACTTTCCTTTCAAAGAAACGTAACGTCACTCGCATTACGATCCTGTTACTTACAGGTAGTTTGTTCTTCTTCAAAAATTGCAACACAGCAAGCAAAGTTTCTTTCTCTTTTTTCGAAGGATTAGGTTTAATTGATGTCGGAACGGATGTGGCGCTTGTGTTGGCAGCCATTTTGAAATTAATTTAGTTGCAAAGGATTGGGCCCGACCAGTGTTGCACCTGCCTTTTAGTACGAAACTGCTGATTCAAAGAAGCAAGGCGCAGCTGGAATGCGTTGGTCGAGAAGTCAATAGTGGATTTTCCTCTCCGATGAAACCAGGAAATTCACCTTACGCTTATTTATAATTTATCTCCATTTCACCACACTATCTCTGGTTTTCAGTCTTCTATTTCAGGGATTTAAAAGGCCAATTGTTTCGTATTTCACCGGCCTAAAAACTCTTGCGGTGTCAAAATGCCCGCCAGCGGGAAGGATCGAATGACAAACGAGTGTTTTGGTTAACGAGCTTTGGTTTGTTGAACATGTAAAAGTCGTCTCTTTTACCTGCCAAGTCGAGAGAAAGTGATTGTTTGAGATGTCGTCCACTGGTTACAAGCCTTTGAATGATACGGACACTGACGAGGAATTGAAAACCGTCCAAGGTAAGTTAAAATAACGTGAAATAATATTTTGTTGTGAACGTTCAGTTTGAATCCCGCATTGGCGTTTTATGAGAACGACTGTGAAAGATCACAAGTTCAGGTCACGCTGCTCGGCTGCCCAGTACCATAAGTTTTATTTGAATTGTATCACCCAGGATTTAACCCTCATATAAAACATAACACTAATGATGATCGACGAAGAATTAAGGAAGTATCTTGCGATTTATTTTTGTATGCGACCTGGAGGTAATTACACGTAAAATCGCGTCGTTTAAAATAATTCTTCCCTCAGCTGGGACGCGTTTGTACGTTTTTAAATTCATGATTCAAATTGTTGTCGCCTAGGAAGCAAAATGTTGATGTTATTTTGGTCTTGCATCAAATAAAAAAATAATAATAATAATGTCGTTTCTATATTTTTAAGGCTAAGCTGAAAATCGATGTTGACTTGAATACGCTTATCATATTGACTTGATTCGATTCTCTTTGCTTGATTTTCATGTTTTAAATTCATATGAAGTCAGAAAAAAATTTGCCCTAGCAGCGTGACTGCGAAAACCAGTTATTGTAATAAAGCTGGCCACCAAACCAGCATTTTATGATAAAAGCACCAGTCTGACTTTATTTTCCTTTATTTATTTTCCTCTATTCTTTAACCGATATATTGCACGCTATAAAAATGATGAAGTGTTCTAAAATAAACCCGTTGTCCTCAGTGAACAATACTATGCCGTTTTACGCTCTTCTTATATTATTCATCTGTGAATTCAGAGCATGATTTATGGAAAAGACACTCTTTCTACAAGTCTTTTTTCCATGTGCATTGCATTATAAACCTTAGCCTTAATTTGTGGTTTAGTGCATCTGGAAGTCTTCACCTCTGGTCAGTCTGTTGAGCTTGAATGCCACTGTTTCAATCTGTTGTTTTGAAAATAAAATGTGATCATAAAAAGGCAGAAAGAGAAAGAGAGAGTTATCTTGATCTTGTTGATAAATTGTCACTGTGTCATGAGTCAAGAAGAAAAAGCTTCCCAGTAGCGAAATAATGGCGTCTGTACTGCTGATCAAAGAGTCAACAAAACACTGTATTTGATTTTTCTTCTGGTCCAATATTTTTTGAACATCTGAATAATAACTTGCTTCAGTAGATTTCATTAATCTCCTTTTGCTTCAGCTATATTTTTATGACACATTATCGGCAATACTGTTGGTGAAATTTGGGTTTTGATTCAAATAACCCCAGCTAGAGTAGAGGTCTTTGTGGGTGTATTATAAATAAGGTAATTGGATACAACAGCTGTTTTTTGCTATAAATATAAAAGGGAAATAAAGGTTTGCATGACATACATCTGTACTGGAAATGGTTAACAAAAAAATTGTTACCGGGTATTGTCTATGAAATTAGGATTATATCTTTTGCTTCCTTTTTTTCGTTCATTTTAATCTTACTATCATCCAGTACATGTTGTACCACAAAAGACAAGAAAGTAAAAATTTATAGAGGGTTGTGAGAAATTTTTATTACAACAAATGTTCCAAAAATTCTAGATCTCAAATCGTCTTCTGAATAGATAATAATTTTCGGAAAATTAACATTTGGTGCCCCTGAAATCACCTTTTATTTATGAAAGCGCAGACAAACTTTGTTGTCTGAACTGAACTTTACCACTTTGTTATTTTCTAGAAAATGAGGACAAAGAGAAAGAAGAAAAAAGACCTGAGTCCAGGATCGATAAGATAAAGGTACAGTGTGGTGCATGCCAAGAAAAAAGAAGTCTATGAAAGTGACAAATTACAAAATGTACTTTTGTCCATACATTATGATGTACATAACATCACCTTTATTTAAAACTCGGATCAACAGAGTAGCTGTAAAAGCTAATAACACTGAAAAAGAGAAAAGAACAGTAATGACAATCCTAAAAGAAAGGAAATACGTATGAAAAAAAGAAAAATAGAAGGAAATACAGACCTATGAGAAAAAGACATTAACTACTCATTACTTGTATTATTATATTTGCTGAAACAAAATAATACACTAACATGTAAAAGTAATTTATTGTTTATTTTCATAGTAGAAATTTTAAGTAACTGAAATTCCTCTGTGGTTTCAGAATGTATTTCATAACACTGGCTATCCCAGTGCTGTCTGGTACATTTTGGGAAATGAGTTCTGTGAGAGATTCTCTTACTATGGAATGCATGGTAAGTTTTAATGATAATAGTAGGGAGCTTAAGCAACAATGACAGCTAGGGCTACAGCTACAAAAATGTCACTTAAAAAGTGTATTTCATGCTTCAGACTTTATCGGGCTTATTCCATCTTGTTCAATTCATCAAATGTTGCCAATTTTTTCTAGAGTTGTGAAAGACTGTATCAAAGTTCAAAGTTCTTGTGTTCACGTTCTCCACAAAATGTGAAATTAGGCATTTTCACGTCGTAGTTGTGTAGTGACGGCAAAGAAATGTACAAAAAAGCATGATGCACATTCAAAGTTGTTGTTTTGCCAACAAGTTTTTGCGAACCTATTGTTTTTTTGCCATTGTCTTTGACGTCACCATGGTCATTTCATTAGTGCACTTTTCAAAAACAGGCAAATTCTGAAGTTGAAAAGCCAACTGACGATTGCGTGTTTCACTGCCGTCAATCATTTTAATGGGCCTCTTAGGAAACAAAACTTTACTTTAACGAGTTCAAAAGGTCAGGTTTGTGATTTGTGATTGGTGAATTTCAATCCTTTTCTTGTGTTTCTGTGTTTCAAGGTTCATTGCTTGTGATCGTAATTATGATTGATGGCAGTGAAAAATGCAATTGTGAAGGTGGCTTTTGAACTTAAGAGTTTGCATGTGAGTGAAAAGCGCAGTAGTAAATGGTGGAGGTCAAAGCTCAAACCTTTGTCATGCCATGGATCACAGTAGGGCTGCCCTTGTAGCTCTGGGGTGACCTCACAGGATTGATTGGGGAAACAATGAACAAATGCATGTAAAGTTAAAAATGGAACCAAACCCGAAAGCAAAAGAGCTGCAACCCAAGGGGGTCCAATTAAATGAAAGGTTCTGAAGCGGTGCAAGGCTACTGCACAGTAGAAGTGGTGTAGGGTACATGCACCTTGTGTTTTGTTGAAGTGTTTCAAGTAGTACAAGAAATTATGAAATGATCACTAAAGGGAAAATGCTTTTGCTTTATATCATATTCTCTCAACTAATATTATTCTTTGACCCTTCAAGTGCCAATAGTGACCAAAAACAATTTTCTCCTAATAATATCCATACTTTGTCAAGAGATAAGGTTATGAGAATTAATAAAATGATCACCATAGAGAAAATTCCATGACCTTTTATCAAATTCTCTCAACTAATTCTTAAAGGAGATGTATGGAGATCAGTTTGGAGAATTTGTATGTGGATATTGGGGCTTAAAGGGTTAAGGATCTTATAAATGTACTGTGTATAAAGAGCAGTGAGTATAAAATTATGGATATTATGGCTTAAACATTTAATTTTGTTTTTTTTTGTCCACAGCCATTCTTGTCATCTACCTAACACAGATGCTGAAGATGGATGATGATTCTGCTACAGCGATTTATCATGCTTTCAACATGCTGTGCTATTTTAGTCCTCTCTTTGGGGCCATGTTAGCTGACAGTCTTCTAGGCAAATACAAGTAAGCCCCAGATGTGGAATTATTATGCAGTTTGATCTTCAAGGGTTGCGCAGTAATGAGAGCATTTGCCTTTCCAGCCACCAGTATGGCACGGTGTCAATGTATTTGGGTTGAGTTTGTTTGTTGGTTCTCTCCTTTGCTCTGAGAGGTTTTTTCTCTGGGTACTTCGGTCTTTCCCTCTGCTCAAAGACCAACACTTACAAATTCCAATTGGATTTAGAAGGCATAGTACACATCAACACAAGTTGTACAGAACTCTAAAGTGCTTTGTGGTTAAACATATTACAGATTATTACAATAACAAAGTTAAATATTCAATAAAACCCATTTGGAATTTGTTTTTTTTCCCCAGGACAATACTTTATGTTTCAATAGTTTATATAATAGGAAACATCACAGTGGCTATAACATCAATTCCAGCAGTCTTAGATCAAGTAAAACTGTAAGTTTATTTTTATTAGTACATTATTTTGTAAACTGAAGATTAGTGGTTTTAAAAATAGCAGCAACTGTTTTGTACCACAGGCTGAACTAGTGTTCTTGTCAATAGATGTTACCTGTAATTGCAGTGACATTCAAGCATACAGCCACTTTAACAAGATCTTGTCTTCTCCTCTCTCTAGTTCTTGGTGGAGATGAATTTTGTGGTTACAATTAACACCATTCTATTGATGATATTCAGTTCAGTAGTTTTGAGAAAGATGCTTGACACTTATCAAAACCATCACTTTTTTTAACGAACCGATTTTGGTTTCTCTGAAGGATTTATAATCTATTAAAGTTTGGCTTCATATTCTTTCTAGCTACATGTAGCCTGATAAATTTCCTCAAGAAGTTTATTTAATATTACTTTGTATATACATCTAATTTGATTTCTTTCCACAGCGCTGGTCCCATGATAGGATTGTTATTAATTGCTCTTGGCACAGGAGGAATCAAACCTTGTGTCTCAGCTTTTGGTGGGGATCAATTCACTGCTAGCCAAGTAAGTACTTAACATTGACATGATTTTTAATAAATTATTTAATTGAATTAGGATGTAATTCCTCTTTTAATTTACAGCTCAAAAGATCATTTGTTTTGTTGTATGGCTGTTCAGGGGGGAGCCTTCCCATTTTGAAAGAAGTTATTAGCTTGTGGAAAATGCATGCGTGCACATGTGTTATCTAGCTATTCTTTTCTCGCATTCATTACCTCATTAAATTACATGTAGCTGTAGGTAACAGAAACGATTTATACCGTCCTGTAGGTAACAAATCTTTGTATTTTTCAGTGATGTGTCACTCTGTAAAATATTAATATTGTTCTTGTAATAATCATTCCTCCTCCAATTATCTCGTCAATCTTGTCTATTTGATTACAGGGTGGTAATTTATTGATGCATCAGGGTTGTCATTAGGAGCCGGGGGCCGAGGATTTTCCCCGGCTACTAAAAGAGTGGCCCCCGGCTACTTTTATTGGAAAATAGAAGAAAAATAGAACCAAAAGAAATCCCTAGCTGTTTGATTCCCCGCCTACTTGTTGTGTTTACCCGGCAACTTGAAATCTTAGTGACAACCCTGATGCATGTACATACATGTACCTATGATATGGCTTAATCTTGTCCAGCACTTTCTCTTTTCAGGAACATTTGCTTCAAAGTTACTTCTCCATTTTCTATTTCGCTATCAATCTTGGCAGCCTTTTATCTATGATTGTCACACCCATTTTAAGAGGTATATCAGTTGATATTTTGTGTGCATGACTTTGTTACATTTTATTCTTTTTTTCCTTTTGTTTTCATTCATCATTTCAGGAGCATTTACTTCAGAGATTCTTCTCTATTTTTTATTTTGCCATCAATCTTGGCAGCCTTTTGTCTACAATTATAACACCAATATTACGAGGTTAGCAAGATCACACACTGCACATGGAGCACAATGCACTGCGTTTTAGTTAATGATTTTAACATGTTCGCAAATGTTTCATATATTTGATATTCCCATCAAAGAAACGCCATTTGGAGCCCCAAACCCAAAAGAACAGCAAATCCCACTGAGATTCAAAATCTTTGTGCATCCTTACATGAAAAGAGGGAAACCTGTCCCTAGACCAGGGGTTTCAATAAGCACTGACGACCGACGAAACGCGTCGGCTACATTGCCAAGAGAAGTCGGCTATGTTTTTCTCCGAAGAAGAAGCAGCTAGTTTGAATAATGTCATGAACAAAAATAGAATTTGTTCATGCGGAAATATGTATGTAACTTAGTATAATTATCATTTGTTCATTACTTGCAGGAGTTAATTGTGTGGCTAATAAATGAAAATTTGACCAAAACCCAAATAACTTGCTCTTTTATTCTCAGTTTAGTCCCCTAAACGTTGGGAATCGCTCATTAGAGCTTTGCAGTTTTCAAATTTTCTGAGGGAACATGCCCCCAGACACCCCTTGAAAACGTGAACTGTTAATATGGTTGGTTACTCTATTCAAATCTGCTGGCTACTTCAATTTTTATTGAAACCCCTGCTACACACATGTACAGGACACCCAAAGTTGTGCTACATTCACCGGCAACCCAGTTTTGTGTCCATTGAAAATGAATGCCATTTCAATTAAAAGCTTAATCACTAGTGTAACCACACTATGGTATATAACATGAATGTACAAGGATGAGCTAAATTCATTCACAATCTGATTTACCATCATTATTACTTTAACTTACAGTTTACATTTCAGAACAAACTCTTCTTGAGACAAAATACAGAGTATTCAATGGTTTTGTAATATTATTTATTTTAGGTGATGTATCTTGTTTTGGTCATGATTGTTACATGTTGGCTTTTGGAGTTCCAGCTGTCTTAATGATACTGTCATTAGGTAAGTATAAGTTTTACGCCTTTTATTCGCATTTTGCCATTCTAATGTATCTACCTCGTCCTTTTAAAAAAGAAAAAGAAAAAACTATGAGGACATCAAAGTATATACCTGTGACTGTATTAATCTTGGTTGCTGTGAGTTAAACACAAAATTAAATTAAAATAAAAATAATTAAATTAAACACAAAAATAATTACCACTCTTGAAAGGTAATGCATTTAATTGTTAATGTAATTATGTTTATCATTTGTACATAGCAACTTTGTAAATTTAGTGCAGATACCAATAAAATGTGCATTTCAGGTTTTTTTCTCTCAGTTGAAACCTCGGTGTTAGTCAACTTCATCCATGGTTTTTCCTGTGCTTTAATTGCCAGAAAAGGTTCTCTCATCAGATCAAGTGAATGACAAAGACTTCCAAGAATATTAATTTTTGACTGATGAAGGTTTTTACAATTATGCTGTGTTGGAGGGCACAGATAAGGTGGCCTCTGAATGAATGAAATAGCACTTTCTGCAATGATGCAAAATATTTTAGGTTTAAAAGATTATTTCCATTGAAATTGTTGAAAACTCAGGTTTTAACAGGGAGAAAGAGCCCTCAGTATATCAAGGGCACGTGACACTGGTAACTGCTGTAAGCTTTAATCCTTTCTTCTTTTCTTTCTTTAAGCTTTATTTCTCTGTGGCCGTAACAGGTACAAAAAAGTTCCCCCAGAGGGAAATATTGTTCTCCTTGTTGGATGTGCTGTTGGGGTATGTTGAGCAATAGTGGATTTCTCTTTAACAGAGACCACCATAATAATTTTCTCCTAACATTACAAGTACCGTACTATTCAAAAGATTGGGTTATCAGAATTAAAAATTGCTTACCTGACTGTGGGGGAAAAATGCTTTGATTGTCAAACAAAATAGGAAATGTATGGAGACCAGTCCAGAGAATTTGAGTATAGATATTGGGGGTATAATTGGTTAATAGTCTGTTTTTGTCAACCACAGTGATGTTGACTACAGATGTTTGTCTAATTATGTAGCTTTTGTTACCAAAATTTTATAATATTTTATGTTGGTACAATTTTGTTTCCAAGTTTGCTGGTTCTTAGTTTCTTTTGTTGTTTGGTTTAGAATGCCATCAAAAAGAAAATAAAAAGCATTGGATCTGGTGAGAAAAAAGAACACTGGATGGACTTTGCTAAGGAGGACTACGGAGTAAGTAATCATTTTTTAACGTAACCACTCTTTAGGTTATGCTCCTACAATGTAAGGTTTGTGCTGAACGTTTTTCAAAGTTTCACAGTCCTGTACAGTACAGTGACTGTGGAGATTGCTTTTTTTAAGCTGAGTGGAATGAAAACTAGAGTTTTAAGTAATGTTTGTATTACTAATTTTATTGTGTTCTTATGACATTACAGTCCCGCATGGTTGAAGATGTCAAGGCACTTTTTAAAGTTCTTTTTATGTTTCTTCCTCTGCCTGTGTTTTGGACACTGTTTGATCAACAAGTGAGAGTTTTTCTTAACGTTTTCTGTTTGTTAATAGTTGTACAGTTGAATTTCTCCTCCATGGCTACCTACAGTATAGCGCAAACAGAAGTGGACATTGTTTTGTACATGTAGATAAAATCTGTTCTCAAGTTAAACAGTGTTCAACCAAGTTTCCTAGCCCTAAGTTAAAGGAAATTTTTTAACAGCTTTTTTAGGTTTTGGGGAGTTGGCCAATGGTAGAAGTTTTGACTGCATACTTTATCTGTAGACTGTTTAAGATGTTAAGGAAAGCATTTTTTCTTTGTCCTTTGAATGTTTGAAACTACAAGGGAAACTAGCTCACCTTAACATATTTTAAACAATTTAGTCATCAAGAAGTGTGGCAGGCACATTTCACAAGCAGGAAAAAGGCTGGACTGGACTTGACTTGCAATTTTGGAGCTGGCCCCTAGTTTAAACCCAACCCTGATTACCAGCTGAAATTCACTCAGTATTCCTGACTTGCCTTTTTTCTTTTTTTCAGGGTTCACGCTGGACACTCCAGGCTGAAGAAATGAATGGGGATCTTGTAAGTTGGCTATTTAGTTTCGTATTGCTGCGACTTTTTTTTAACCTTGACAGACACCATTTTTTAACAACTCTACTTGATTGGTACAGCTTTTGAA